GAGATGAAAGGGAATTAGTATTTGGAAGAGTTGGGATGAAAGGGAATTAGTATTTGGAAGATTTGAGATGAAAGGGAATTAGATTGATCCATGGGTTGTTTTTCCAAGGGAAGATGGAATGGGTTGTGAGAACCAGGAAGATGAGGAGATGAAGATATTGAATACTAGCAAAAAAGAACACAATAAAGAATTATACACATTAAATACAAAGTACACTATATTTTTTTCTGGGGCAGCTGGGATTGATTAATAGGGGGAGGTGGTGCTACTATTGGGGTAGGGCCTCTGTGAGGGGTACCCTTTGTGAGCTTGAAAAAGTTAAGATTTTGACAGATGTTTAATAAGAGAAAATGAAAGACTTTTGCTAGAGAGTTTTCGGGGTTTTGGGGGATAGTTGGTAGCATGAGACGTGAGGAGAAGCCATCAAAAGGATTGGTGAGCAGGATGAGGCAGTTGAGAGGTGGTGGTGAGAATCAGGAAGATGAGGAGATGAAGATATTGAATACTAGAAAAAAGAAAAATAAAACAACACATATAAAGATATAGACTAGCTAAAAGAATGTAATATAAAAGACATACAAATAAATACATAGTAAACACTATTTATTTTTGGGGGGGGCAGCTGGGATTGATTAATGGGGGGAGGTTTCTGCACAGGAAGAAATTATTAGGGTGATGCCAAGGTGGAAATCTAGGTGTTCAATTAGTTTAGTATTGGAGGGGTCGAGCTGGGATTGATTAATAAGGGGTGGTTACTTAATCCTATGTCAACATTAGGTTTGAGACCATTCGCTAGTAGGTTTGAGGCCATCGCTAGTAGGTTGGAGGCTATCGCTAGTAGGTTTGAGGCCATCGCTAGTACGTTGGAGGCCATTGCTAGTAGGTTTGCAGGCCAGCGGCTGGTAGGTTGGAGGCTATCGCTAGTAGGTTTGAAGCCATTCGCTAGTAATAGCCTCAAACCTACTAGCGAATGGCCTCAAACCTACTAGCGATAGCCTCCAACTTACTAGCGATGGCCTCAAACCTACTAGCGATAGCCTCCAACCTACTAGCGATGGCCTCAAACCTACTAGCGATAGCCTCCAACCTACTAGCGAATGGCCTCAAACCTACTAGCGATAGCCTCCGACCTACTAGCGATGGCCTCAAACCTACTAGCGATAGCCTCCAACCTACTAGCGAATGGCTTCAAACCTACTAGCGATAGATAGCCTCCGACCTACTAGCGGTGGCCTGCAAACCTACTAGCAATGGCCATCGCTTGTAGGTTGGAGGCAAGGGAGGGAAAGTCTTTAGCGCCGACCATGAAGAGAAGAAGAAGAAGAAGAAGATGATGATGATGATGAGCGCGTGCAGTGCTGTGGGAGGCATCTTTGTGTGATTGCACCGCAGGCAGTTGATGCCCTTGGCAGTCGCAGACTGTGCTTGGAGGTTCGTTTCATTTACAGGCTGCAGACGATTTTGATGAATGGCATCCGGTTGCACCGTTGAATTCGAGGAACCCATCGTACCTTGCAGCCTGGCTTTTTGCTCGCTTATGCTGAGGCGGTGGCTTGGCATGCTGGCATAAATTCAGAACGGCCTCCATGACCTTCATAGCTCACCCCGCTCAAGTGAGGGTAAAAGAACAGCTTCGTCCCCCTGCCATCGGCTTCTTCTTTCCTTTCCTTCCCCCCCCCTTCGCGGTCGACGTCGGACGTCGCTCTCACGCCCGTGCGGCGACTGACCGCGGACCGCGAACCGAGCGCGAGGAATGCTTGCGGCGTGCTGGCTTTGAGCTTTGGGACTTGGGCGGAGCCGATCATTCGCCCATGATGCAGTATAAGCCCCAAGTGGCGCTGGACGGTGGGTGGGTGACAACGCGGGGTGGTGTGGTGAGACCAGCTTGGGGGCGATTTTTTCTCGGTCAAGCATCAGAATCGTAGACTCTTGGTTAATGAATTCCGCATATCTAAGAGGTAATACAGTATATATAAGAGGCATATCATGGTATATAGTTCCATTCACATTGGGGCGGATTATATCCTCAAGAGTCTGCATGAATCACCTTTCGATGATGTGGACCGAAGGCAGCGGCTTGGACCGAAGCAGATGTAGCGGCCTCGCAGGAGATGCATCGCAGTGAGTTCTTGTTGCGCCTCTTGGAGATCTCTCGTGCGGAGTTCGCAGCGGCGGAAGAGGAGATGGCCTTGTCGCGTGTGGTGTGCAGCTGGACAAGGGAAAACAAGGGGGAAAAAAGGCTTTTGGATACCACATGACTGCAGAAGATTCAAGTCGAAACCATGAGAAGCCAACAAAAGTTAGTGATTCGTTCTGTTTTTTGGCTTGCAAGCCCCACAGGTGACAATCAAGCGACTCAGTCTGACTATGACGTGTTTTTTTACATTCACTGCAGGAGCAGGTTGTCAGATGTTGCTTGCCACCATTTCAGATGATGAAAGCATCACATTGCCAGGACCAAGCGCAGAACCTCAGCCGAGCTGAAAGCCTGATGCCACCAGCCAGCACTGAGCTCCCTCGATGACCGGATGAGCTCAAAGGGGGGATGGTGTCATGCACAAGACAGAGAATGCAGATGCTTTGCCTTCAAAGAGGTGGTCGCCCTCAATTGATTGTCATGGGTTCTGAGCTAGTATGAGCTAGCGTCAGTGTTCCAATACTCCAGAGTCCCGTGATGAAAAAGTCAGCCGACACTGCTACTTGATCCCGGCAGACTCAATGATATCATGAAATTGCCGCTAAGCTAGAGGGCTTTATGTCTTGCCCTGCCCGTTTTGCCACTCCCAGAGCTACGGTCGAACGCGACGACAAAGCTCGCCAGCACGGTCGGACGCGACGACGCGTCTCGCGTCTCACGTCTCTTCCGATCCGCTTCGACCGTGACCGTCATAGGAAGCCCATGACAGACCTGGGTGCAGCACCACCTCCATGCGGCGAACGTGTCCCGCAAGGCGTCGTCTTCGAGGACGACTCGTCCGGGCGTCGAACGGCGCCTGAACACGGGGGAAGGGCTGAGAAAATGCCATGATTGAACATGATGAGAACGGCATCCTGAAGCTGGAATTCTTTGCATTTGCTTCTTGCTTGTGAAAAGGACATCCAAGAAGAGGATCTTTGGGGTGCTGTGGCCTTGAAAAGTCATGATCAGCCTAAGGCCGGGGGTTGAGAGAGACGTGAGACACGTGTGAGACACTTCATGCAGCTATGATTTGCTCTAAATGTGCTTTATATGTGTTTTTATACCGGCAGAGCTTGGCAGCAGGCCCGGCCCGGTCGGTCGGCAACACTCATGTCCTCGGATGCTTGTGAAAAAGCGTTGATCGACGAATGGGGAGCCTCACCCCGGTGAAAGACGGAGAGACGGAGCCTTCAGAAATCCTAGAGACCAGGCGAAGGGAGAAAAAAACAAAAGCAAAAAGCCTCAGGGAAAGGCAGCTGTGGCTTGGAAGGCAGCTGGTTCATCAACTGCACCTGTTTTTCTTTTCAGTCATTTGCCATGTGATGCGTCATGGATTTGAATGACCAGCAGCCATTGGACTGAGGCAAAAGAGACACAAGCTGTCCAAGTTCAAGAATCAGTCTACACACCACCGCCCAGACCAAAGTCAGAACAGCCGAGTGACAAGGCACCGAGACCCATCAAGCTACAGTAATTCAAGTTAGAATACACTGGAATTTTAGTTAGGAGCAAAAGACGCTACTAGGGGGCTCCTGACCTTACTACTAGCAATGCTCGCTACTAGGAACAAAGGATGCCAATGGAGGGGAGTTGGGGACTGCTGGCACTGCTGGGACTGCTGCAAGGATGATGCCAAACGGCTGTTCTTGAGCGCGTACCAACAATTCCTTGCAGAAGGCCTCTCTGAAACAGAGGCGACTCAACGGGACTCACAGATGGTCGGACTCACGCTGAACTCTTAGCACCGATGTGAGAGGCCTTTGTTTAGCACGTTTTTGGCCACATTTTAGGCCAGCTTTTGTGACATGACACGCATGACTGACCTGTTCCCTGTTCCGTGTGTTCCGTGTAGTACAAGCAGTGCAAGGCTGCTGCCAAAGCTTTGAAAAGTATCCGAGGCTGAGGAGGGGAAGTGTTCGAGTCTGGTCGAGTGTCGATTCGTTGATGCACGTTTTTCCGTCCTTGCAAGACTAAAGTGACCAAAGGATTTGACCAAAGGATTCCCCTCACGTTGTATAGATGGGGATGGTGCGAACCACCTGGCCAGGCTGGAGCTGATCTGAGATGGCAAACGTCATCTGAAGTGAAGCGGTTCTGCAAAATGTAGCAACGCTGCTGCTGGATATGTTTCCTAGACTTTCCCATCTTGCTAGCCATAGTGGCCTTCCCAACGCTCTTCCATCATCATTATATATTGTTATGTTTGATGGCTGCCATGCAGCTGTGGAGTGTACCACTGTGAATGCAATCAGGACAGGCATTGATTTTGGGGATATCTACCCTGTGGATAGCATTGGGATCATATTCAATTTTGGTGTGATGCAGCCGCCATCACCTTTTCCTGGGCAAAGCTCTATGCAGTACAGATCCTGCTCCTACAACACTAGAGAAAAGTGGGCAGAACCATCGATTCATCAAACGCATAAAGCTGGAGGCAGAACCACATGCATCACTCGAGTCTTGTTGAATTCCCAATGACTCCTGAGACCTTGTATACTTAACTTGATCCAGTTATATAGACTGTAAACCACTCGCACTCCGGACGAGACAGTGGCCAAATTTTTAGCCAGGTCATGGCAAAGATCGAGCAGTTCAGCAATCAAGATTTGTCTAACACATCCTGGGACGGAGCCTCAAGTTCAATGCTGGGGCTTACCTAGGTTCGGGGTTCAGCACGCCATACATCACACATTGGCTTGGCAAAAGAGAATTCTTGATTCCTCCCGAGGCCTTTGCCAAGTTAGCGATCTCCAATGCCATGGTGCTCAATCATCGAACGATGCCATGCCGTTTTTTCTTTTTACCCTTGTCGCTGAACGCCACGCGGCAGTGGATCAGTGCTGGGGTCCCAGTCCAGCCGAGGCCATGATGATGACGGTCATTGCCAAGAAGCTTGTATCGATGGTGAAGGAGAATCATCGAGTGCGGGAGAATCCTGTTGGGGGAGAATCCTGCCAGAACGGTGAACGAGAACTTTGTGCCTCGGAGGTCAGACCGACAGGCAAACCGCGCAGGATAACGATGGATAAAACAGGTAAATAGACTTATAAACCATCCCATTTGGATTAATCAAGAGTCTACATTAGGCAGTCCAGATTACTGTACCCTGTCTCAACGAGAGAGAGAGAGAGAGAGAGTGCATGGGGGGGCCGTCAGGATTTGATCCCCCAGGATCTGGCCAACACGGCCTGGTCCCCGGCGAGCGTTTTTTTTGGTGCTACGAGAGGATATGTTTGAGGAGACCTATCTGAACTTGACTCCTCAAGAAAGAGAAGAAGACGCGTTTCTTTAGGTGGAGGCCGTCGCAACTCATTTGGGGCCATCGCTACTAGTAACAAGAAGCCACTAGTAACAAAAGACCATCATAGGATCATTCCTGTGGAACTAGTGACATGATACCTTTGGAATGGTCCGATGCTACTACTGCCACTAGGACAAGATCATTAATAGGATCATTCCTTTGGTTTTTCGCCGCCTGCGGCAAAAGCCGTCTTTCGAGGCCTGGGCCTATGCAACCCTGGGCTTACCGGACAGCCACCTGGGCCGCATGTCACGCCGATGTTCTTGCCGCCCGAAGGACCGCATGTCCCGGGCCACATTGGACCGGGACCGGCCGAGGCCATTTGATGGATCAGATTCTGGCCGAGGCTCAGCTCTGCTGCGGCTGGTGAAGGGGTGCTCGGCTCGGTAACGCAGTCACATGAGATCACAACCCACAACTTGCATCAGCGTGCCTCCAGTTCTAGTGGAGGAGGTCTTGGCCATGAAAATGATATAATTACATCGTTGGTTGGTTCAGGTTTCTGGCGCCATTTGGTAGCATCCGGAGCGCGTTGGGAAAGCCAATCAGCAATTCTGGGCCGCAGGTGGTGTCGAAAGTCAATGACTTCACCACTCAGAATTTGTCCAACACTGCCTGGGCTTATGCAAAGTGGGACGCTTACCGGAATGGCAGCAGTCCTCATGCCAAGAGAACACGCAAGAGCAAGAGAGAGAGAGAGAGGGAGATGCAATGGAGGTAGGAGGTGGCCCTCCTGGGGCAATCAAAGCGCGGCCACCGTGAACCTGCGCATGTGGGCACGCAGTACACGGCGTAAGAAGGCCGCCGGCCCTTGGTCCAATTCAGTCAACCGCCTCAATCCGTAAACAGACGTGGAATGGCACACGTCAAGTGCAGGCTTCGTATGCGACTAAGCCTAGCCGCCCAGGCACTGTTTCAATCTCGCCGTGGGCCTGTTCTGTTCTGCTAGCTGCTTCCAGCTTCTACCGGCGGCTGCAATGGTTGCATGCCGAACCTCTTTTGCATTCCCTGATTGGCGAAGAGAAGGTCAAAGCCAAACTCAAAGTCATCAATGGCCATCAAGGTCAGCCCCGGCATGTTCTGGCAACTCTTTTCACTTCTTACGCCGTAGCGTAAGGCCCGCAAAACAAGACGCCGCGTCGGCTTTAGCAGTAGCAAGCGCTCCTTTTGGGAGCACCAAGGCAAGCTTCACCGCGAAGCAGTGTCCGTCAACACCGCCTGTTTGTTCACCACAGCACGGGGTGAGACCAAACACACTGGGGCCACAAGAATCATACTACAGGCTCGCTTAACTTGAACAATCAGCTCTAATTGGCACATCCAAGGGCAAGAATCAAAGAACTAGAAGTGAACTCATGACATTCGCCGTATTGACTGGAGGATTTGCTTCCGCTTTACTCGGAGTTGTGAGCCAGAGGCTTGGACTTTGGAATGATCGACTCATGCAGACGTCCGGCACTGAGTTTAGACTCCGCGGGAGATTGGAGTCTCATGTCATGGCTTTGCAATGTGAAGTTCTGCTTTCTGGTAGTAACAAGAAGCTACTAGTAGCAAGGTGCATCGCTACTAGGAAGAAGACGGAACAAGGTGCATCGCTGCTATAGTAGCTTCGTGTTACTACTAGTGACAAGAAGCTACTAGATGAAAGTGGGGCCTTTCAAGCTCACCGATGCTCACAGCCACCCTCCCTCCACCATCCGGCAGCGAACATGGGCGCTGGCCCCAGGCTGGCACATGCCATCGTGCGGAAGGCCACCACTTTCCGAGTGAGCATGAGTCCTGTCGCCTTAACCTGCGAGCCAGTTTAGCTGTCTAGCAGTAGCAGCCAAAGCTTGGATCTCATTGTCTCGTTGGTGTTGCTCCTCACGGAGCAGAAGTAACCCGAACCTTCCCACCTGGACCATCCTCGATCTGTTTGGCTCATTGCTCCGGTGCTGCCACCAAGCGATCTGTGACTGCACCATCTATGACCCAGATTCTGTGGATATGGACCATGGACCTTTTTTCGGTGGGCCTGGCCATTGCCTTTCGGTGCGTGAGAAGAACACCCGACTCAGTACGTAGCACATCGGCACCGCAGACCTGACATACTTGTACATAGGTGACCCGGCACAACATCGCGCACTTCCGTGGAGCATCAGCACCAGCACTGTACCTCGGCCGGCGCCACATCGCCAGATTGGAGACTTTGATGGTCAGGGCTTGGCCAATGTGGCGTGGTCCTTCGCGGTCTTGGGCTTCAAATGCTCGAGCCCCAGGGCCGATCCGGCGGGGTAGGGGACGGCTGGTGTCAGGGCGGGCGGTCGTGGTTTCGGGATACTTCGCGGCGGTGTGGGCGGTGGACCTGGGAAAAGGCCGATGGAACTCAGCTCCAAAAGCATTCCCAACACCTAAACATCTGTTGAAATTCACCTCATCCCCATGGACCCCGTAGCGTTGACTCTCAAGGTAGAGCAAAAGGTAGCGCTTACCGGACTAGCAGGGTTAGCTAGGTAGTTAGTACTATTAGAGCTGATCCTGTAAAATACAGGTTATCAGCCGTAAGCTAGCTAGATTAGAGCTATGGACCCGATGGATGACGACGTCCCACCAAACTCCTACGGAAGTGGCTTTGACATAGTTCCGAGTGTGCCCAATAGTTTGGATGCAGTTCAACGGCATGAACAAGCGGTTGCACAAGTGGCTGCAATGGATCCAAGGGTTGCTTCGGAGGTGTACCAAGAGATGCTAAATAGTGGTGGTAGTGTTACTCTTCAAGAGGCGACACAAGCTACCCTAGCAGGTATGCCGTCAGCCACCGTAGCTGGTGCGCCAACAGTAAACAACTTGTTGGCAATGACTCGGCTCAACGTCGTCAACCTGAATGCAACGCCAAACGACGAAGAACTACGACGGGAGTTACAACAACATGAGTTTTTGCTCAGCGAACAAGCCAGGAGGGAAGCTGAAATCGAGGCATTGCGCTTCAGGAGTATTTACGAAAGAGAAGCTTCCGAATCTATAGCGGCAACAAAGGCTGCCGCAGAGCAGGCAATGTTGAATGTTCAACAAAGGGCCCAACAGCAGGAACAAAGTGTTCAGCAAATGGTCCAACAGCAAGACAATGTTGCAATCAAACGGTTGCAAGGTACATTGGAGGAGCAAAGGGAACATTTTCAGCAGCGGCTAGCTCAGGCGACAGCAGCTCATGAGAAAGTTGTACAGGAAAAGAATGCCATGGCGGAAGAAGGCAATGCTTTTGTTGACAAAATGAGAACTGAACATCACCAGTATGTTGAGCAACAGGAGGCTAAGCTGAAGGCAGCTCTAGAGGCAAAGGATCAGGCAAGACATTCGTCTGCTGAAGAATCCCGGATCGCCATAGAGCTTGACTTCAAGCGAGAACAACTGGACAGTTCGTTAGCAATTGCACAGGCAAAGATCAAAACTCTTGTCAATGAGATGGAGACAACAAATAAGCAATATAAGGTTGATCGGGAAACGCAAGAGCAAACTATAGTTGAGCTTCGCGAGGACAATGCAATGTTGAAGGGTGAAATGGACGAGCTCAGACGTGTTGTACAGTCCTTGACAAACAGGGAAGAGGAACGCAAGGAAGCGGAGCGCAAGGCGCAATCCTCTAGCCCCGTTAAGCCAGGGCCGCAATATCCTGAGCCACTTACACCTTCTGCTCGACAAGACGCTCACCCAATTGGTCAACCGCGATCTTTTGAACCTCTACGCACGGAAGGCACTGTTCCAGCAACCTTAGACGGTAAGCCCCGTGAGGAAGGCGGATCCCCTATAAAGACGGCTATGGATGCAACAGCGTCCACGCGCAACACTGGATTCCCATCAATGTTCTCAGGGACAGGGGCGCCCGCAGCGGAACAGGCAACGGCCTCTACGGACAGGCAACAATTCAAACAACCGGATCCGTGGACGGAGTACATGAAGAAGTCAGCACAATATAACTTCAGTGATGATCCTTTGTACAAAAGCTCCTTTAATCAGGAAGCAACAAAGACTAAGGATGATCGCAAGGACGAAGGGCCGGCTTCTCAGGTAAGAACTCCACAAGACCAAGATTTGGGGGAAATCATCAAGAAGGCCTTGCTAGAAGGGTTTAAGGGCACTAAGAGCAAAGACTCTGACAAACCCAAGGCAAAGGAGGCTGATAAGATAGATCTTCCCGAATTCCCAAGTCCTGATAGGTACCGCACTTGGAGGGCCGCTGTTCGCGAAGCGATACGGTCCGCGTCCGATGACCCAGACGCTGCGTTCGCATGGGTGCTTGAGGTGTACGCTGTTCGTGAAGACAAAGCCAAGCTTTGTTCCGAATTGGCTGACCCAGGCAAGTTTCGGACCTTAGACACGAAACTACTTGCTGCTTTAACTAAGGTTGCCAAAGGTGAACTGTCTCAGCAGATCCTTAATTATAAGGAATCTGAGGCACAGCAAGGTAGGATCGTCCGTGGTCGTCAGGTGTTGCTCATGTTTGAAGTCCACTTCAAGACCAGTGAAGAAGCGGGTGCACTGTATGGCACTGAGGACCTCCTGCAGATCTCGCTTGATAGCGACGACTTGAAATCCTTTCTAAGAAAATGGGAGAGTGTTCTGACCGGAATGAGTCATGTCCCAGACCCGGCAACTCTCAAGGATTTGTTTTATAGAGAGGTTAGGAAGTCCCGCAAGCTCAGATTTGACCTTGATGTTTATGAACGAGCGCCGGAGGGAAGTAACGACAGAAGCTATGAATTTCTTATCAATTCTGTTCGACGTTACCTTGACAGGGAAAGGCTCAGGACCAATCGCGAAAAGATATCACAATCACACGCGGCAAAGTTCGCAAACCCGGCACCGCACGACAAGCGCACGCGAAGCCCAAGTTATGGCAAACGAAGCACAAAGGGTGACGGAAGCAATCAATGCTATGAGTATGCCAAAACTGGTAAGTGTAAGTACGGGAGCAAATGCAAGTACTCACACGACTCTAGCGCCCGTCCCCGCTCCCTTAGTCGGGAGTCGTCTCGTTCGCGTAGCGCAAGTCCGAGCAGCCGTTTATCGTTCAGGTCAAGCCGATCTCGAAGTTCGTCAAGACACACTTCCCGCTCCAGTTCAAGGAACTCATCAAGAAGCTCCAGTAGAGGGAGGAAATCTGACAAGCCATGCAGGTTCTTTGCAAAGGGTAACTGCAAAAGGGGTGACAAATGCCCGTTTAAACACGGAGACACTGCAACACCAGCCCCGCGCAGAAGGAGTCCCTCGCCCGCAGCTAAAAGGTCTAAGGACAAGAAATCCAAGAAGGACAAAAAGGACAAAAAGAGCAAACGGGAAAAGAAGGACAAAAGTCCAAAGGCCAGTCCATGTATTCAAACAGGTTTCGCAATGTCTTGCTTAGCAGCAACCGCAACTCGGACCCAAAAGAGTAAAGACTACTGGGAATTCTCCAAAGATGGCAATGAGTTGATTAGGCACCATTTGAAGCCTAGGCACAGGTCGTTTCTCCCAACATGTAAATCCTGTCCAGTTGAGTCATCTAGGTTGGAAGACCAGTTTACCATGGTAGTCACTGACTCAAAGGGAAAGAGTAGGACAATCAAGGGTAATTGGAAGAAACACCCAAACGCAAAACAGAAATTTGATTGGACTGGAAAGTCAATTTTCCGTGTTGTGCAAGAGAAGAGAATTCGTTTTGAATTAGAACCGGAGGTACACACCTTTCCTGTTTGGAAGGAAATGTACCGGCATGTAGTGAATAAGAGCAAGAAGCGGAACCTGTTCCGGACCACTGAGGAATGCCCAAAGTCCCGCGAGTGTGACACTAAGGACGCCATTTTGGCAGCGGAGTCACTTAGGCAGATGCTCGTTTCGATGGATACCGAGGAGCCTGCGTGTGATTTCCTTTGTGAACATTCCCCAGAAGGCCCCGATGATTTGTGCTGCACGAAGTGCAGAACAGTCGTCGGAGAACAGGTGCCGTCATGTGCTCGCTTAACAGCGATGCCAAACATGGTTGGTATGGAGAAGTGGCTGGGTGACACTGGCACTGACCAGGACATCGTAGGTAAGGACTCTAAGACAGTCAACAGGGCCACCAAGATATTCAAATCCAACGAACCAATCTCCCTTACTACTGCCAATGGACCTATCACTGCTGACGAAGTAGTAGAGGTGATCTTGCCAGGGTTATGTGAATCCTTCAACCCCTACATTCTCCAAAGTACTCCCTCTGCACTTTCAATTGGTTTGAGGTGCTTAGAACAGGGATATGATTTTGTTTGGGGAAAGGACACTACTCCCATATTTCTTCGACCTGATGGACAATGCGTTAAATTCAAATTGCAAGGTAGGGTTCCATATATTGATGAAACATGTACCCCATTCTCAATTCCTGAATCACTGAGGACTCGCCTTACTAAGGTACTCGATTCCATCCACCAGTTCACCATCGACCAGGGCTACGCCATGGCCAGCCATGAGTCCGAACCCGAGGAAGACCAAGAGGAGGCTGACGAAGCTGGCGTAGATGCCAATGCCGATGATGGACAGGAGGACGAAGAGGACAGTGACCCAGAAGTTGAGGTTCCTTTTGATTTTGAAGACGTTCCCGTAGCAGGGGAGAAGACCGAAGAGCAACTTCGAAAGGAAGCAAAATCAGGGGCGCATCAATTCACACATCGACCAAAGAATCCCTACTGCGATGTTTGTAGCGAAGCTAAAATGCTTGCTCCCTACGGTAGAAGCGTAGGCGGATCACAACATGTTTTGGCGCGTGGGTTTGGCGACCACATAGTGTGCGACCATGTTATTCCCAAGGATATTGAAGAAGGGATAGAAGGCCAAACGTCAATGTTGGTGATCAAAGATGTTTATACTCAATACAGATGTGTTTATCCTTCAGAAAACAAAACAGCCGATTCCATTGTGAAAGCTTTTAAACATTTTCTGAAGACTTCTGATATTGTTGGCATAGTGTATACCGACAACGCTCCAGAAATGCTGGATGCCATAGAAGAACTTGGTTTCAAGCACCAGACTTCTGTTGAATATCAACATTCCACCAAAGCGGTTGTTGAGCGTGAAGTCCGCACCATTTTGGAAGGGGCGCGCTCCAACCTCCTCCAGGCCAACATGCCTCTTTCTTTGTGGCCTTATGCCTCCAAACATCATGCGATGGCCATAAACATTGTAAAACAATTGAATGGTGGTGATCCACCATGGGCACTTCGCTTTGAAAACGGATTTCTTGGTAGGCAACTTCCT